TGCGTTCGGAAAGTAAGGGAAATTGGTGTTGCTGCTAATTGGTCAATCTCCACATGGGTGGTTAGAAAAAGATGCTAGCCGCCCTCGAGGGAAAGTTGCTAGTGGGAGACGTCGTCCGTTGAAAAATAGGTCTCCTCTATTTTCACGTAGTTTGGACAAAGACTGTTTGTCTGTTTGAAGGACTTTAGGTAACTAGATCTAATAGGATCTGCGTGTGGCGAGCCACGGGACAGAAACCGTTGGAATGTTTACTGTCGCGTGCCGCTACAAATATTTCTTTTAAGGAGAGCTATAGAATTACTCCGTACCTTTGTTAGACAAAGCGTTCATCCCTGACCGCGAGCTACATTCGGCGACTGATTGTCGCCTCGCTGCTGGCTGTCGCCTCGAGCCCAAGCTCATTATCACAAATCTCGAACAAATACAATCGGATCGAAAGACGACAATTGTTTAATTACGCCTATTTAGAATCTAGATTACGGTGTTAGGGGATTGTCCCGAAGTTCCAAAGGGGAAGCTTCGATGTTCTTTCATCTCCGACATATATATGTCGGGTTATCGTTGGGTTTATGGGCGTGTAACGAATCTTCATTCGGACTAGCCATCGTTATTGTACGATAGAGATTATATTTACTAGTATAAATATTGATTTTTACAAAGTTTGACAAATAACCGTGGTGATTAAACACTCGAGATGTCAGTGACAATGTTCTTAGCTTCAATAGCGAATCCACGGTCAACGGGCTAACTCTTTGTTAAACGTAGAATATATTTTGAAGCACAAAGTAACGTTTGCTGTGACGCTCGGTGTAATAATGCACGTAAAGACGATGTGCAAACTCTCCAAGCTAATCGCAAGAATAAAAGACTGATGGAAATTTTCCTCTCCTTACGATCGCGTTTGTTCGTTGCATATTGGCCGGGGATACCAACAAAATTCCAGCCGCCGTTGCTAGGCAGACCCGCGTAGAGCTGACATTGCTCCTGCCTGGGGTTTGATTGTTAATACAACGCGCGTCCCATAATATTGGCATTTCTCTGTTAGGTAAAAATGTTCATCCCGTGACCGTGGCTACGTTCGGCGACCAGTTATGTCACCTCGAGCCCAAGCCTACCGTCGCAAATCTCGGGCAAACATAATAGGATTGAATCATAACAACTCTTTCTAAGTTTTATCATTTAAGCACAGCTATAATAAATAGTTTATACCAAAGTATTGGAATCCTCCCAAAAATTCCAAAAGAAAGACCCCGATGTCCCCTCATCTCCGACATATATATAAACATTAATATTTATACAATATGACACACGAAAAATCTATTTTTATATTGTACAAGTTTGTCGTACAAGTTTAAACATATATATGTTTCGTAGAGCACAAGTCACAATTTCTTTACAGTTGCAGGGCTACTTCGATGGAATTCATAGAAAAAGATACTTTAATATTTCAATTTGTTGATTAATAAATTTCAACCAGGTTTATTAGATTTTCGTATAGTGAAATAAATAAATGAAACAACTTTTTTCAGACAAAACAATTATTCGTATCAAAATATATTAATTTGAAATTTCATTTGTATAAAATTAAAAATGTTGGGATCCTTGAAGTTGTACAGGGATTTTTATGGATTTTTATAGTAACAGCAAGAATTTTTATGTTTTATAAAACTCGATTCATGAGATAAAATACAAAACATAACGATTGAAATCTTCCGTTTAAAAACGAGAAACATAACTCACAATGAGCATCAATCAAGGACAAGAATAGAACTTGGCCTCAATTAGCATCTTGTTTCTATATTAACAATAAGAGATGATCTTGATATAAACCGAAACCAATGAACGTGAATAAATAGTGGAACATCTCTTTGCTGTTACATTGCAAATATTCTAGTAATTATTGTTAATGAAGGCACATATTACGCACGAAATTAAAAATCTCACTAGATTTATACCTGATTGATATTCTCGAAAACATAGAAATATATTTACGTTTTATGTCACTAACGATATATTACATATATCAATGACGCAGTTAAACAAATAACTAGAAACAAACAAATCTTTCTAAAAATATTAAACATCGACAGAATTTATTATTCTATGAAATAATAAAAAGTAATCGCTCATTGATTACTAGAAATGCTAATGTTATAAGTAATAGTCGACAACGCACAAATAAATGTTAATACAAAGATGACTTTTATAGTACTTACCGCAACACGGTTTGCCAAAATCCAACCGCACGAGTTGCACCATATATGGTTCAAGCAAGTTCACGTACCACCACGGCCTGTGCTCTGGTCTTGTAAGGGTGCAAGTTTGAGGGGTATAAATTTGTCCACTGCTGCCATCAACAGCACGCTGCGGAATTCCACCATCTGAGCTGCTTGATTGCATAGGAGCTTTACCTCCGGCAACATTTAGCACTGTAATCAAAATAAAAAGATGCTAGATGTTAGGAAATTCACTTATTTATAACACTTACTTATAAATTATACTTATCTATAATAAGTATTAACTTATTATAAATAATCAGCCATGTCACTGCGCCACGCCAGAAAAATTACTGAAAATTCTCAACGCGAGAATTGATTGCAATTTTAATAAATAAATAAATAAAAAAAAAAAAGATGTTAGGAACGAATTTAAATTCAATTTTTTATTTAATCGTTGTTCACTTAATTTCATTTTGTATATTAGCAAAAAGTTCGAAAATTTATTTTAAGGGTGAGAATGAATCCCCTGACGAAAGACGTATAATGTTAATGTGCTCATAAGTGTTCTGTTTCAATACCAATGTAGCGGCACAGGAATCAAGGGATGACGCGAGCCGAGAGCGACTCGTGCTATTGTTTTGCCTCCGGACATTGACTTAGCCTTGACGCATGAAACATAACGACAAATAAACTCCGGGCAAAAACAACGTCACCGCTGCATGCAACCGTCGAATCAAGACGAATTTCAATTTTCCGACTCTCCCCGGCCAGTATAAACAAACGAACACGATCGCGAACGACAGTACATATCGTGTATCTAACAGCATCGAGAGTATTTCCGAGTATCTTACGAGCGTCTATCAAGTTATGCGACGAGTCTTTACGAGTATTTATTCCGCGATTTTATTTTGCGATTTATATTTCGTACCAACGACTCACGTTTACGGCTGTGTATTAATTTATCGACTTAAATATATTCGGCGGTTACAACAACGAGTAATCTCGTCATTAATTCTCACGCACCTACATCCTCTTCACATAACCTACACTAACTATGTACATAAATTGACCTAACTAATACCTGCTTATATAAGGATTTCGTTCTTCATTTTTAATACAGTAAGTTTGAGAGTGGAAATTTTGTAGACGTTGAGAGAAATTTGTCTTTACGAATTATTAATAATAGAAACATATCTTCTGTGGTGTTTTTGTAAGAGTGATACAATGCACTAGAATAGTGCGGCGATTTTGAAAACACGTGTATGCATTATCAAGTTAGTTAATAATTTGTGAAGTACACGCAAGGCTAGTGTGAAAAGATTAAAAATTCCATTGAAGGATTTCATCGACCGGATGAAATAGTAAACCACGAGACACGCGACAGGAAGAGTGGTTTAGTCTTTTCTTGCGCATCTTCTATGCGGTTTCTGCATTCATAGTTAGGAACTGCATTCAATGCTATGCACTGCACAGTGCCCCGCCCCAATTGCGGTACTTACAACACGTGCTCGTGATGTGCGAAATGTTACATTAACCCATACATAATTACTACAGGCTCTAGTATAACTTAAAACTAGTTATACCTGATTTTAATCGATCTTGACGATTATCGAGTGACTGTCAGATCATTTATTCACTGCATTATATCTATTACTTAAAGTAGCAACTGTATAAGCAGCTCAATTAAAATTCAGACCGATCTGTGATACACTAACCAATCTCCTAAATCTGAAAGATCTGATGATCTTGCTTTTTCTACTTCTCATTGCGTTTCATCAAGTATGCAATTTTTTCTCCAATTATTCAACTTGTGAATGTTGACATAATTTCGATATTGTTTAATTTAGATAATGAATGTAAACAATAACAAATGGTAATATACAGGGTGGTTGGTAAGTGGTGGTACAAGCGGAAAGGGGGTGATTCCACGCGAAAAAAGAAGTCGAAAATATAAAATAAAATTTTTTTTTTAATTAGATCAACTTCAATTCTGTGAGAGATGTAGCAGCTACAACAAAAGTTTCCGGAGAGATTTTTTTTTAATTTTTCCATCGAGACAACGATCTACAGCGAGATCCGTTATAACGAGACGCGATAAAATGCACGCGTACCGAGCGAAAATTCAAAGTCGATTTTCTCGAAAACAAAGCCTCGAACGAAAAATTTTTATTCTATATTTTCGACTTCTTTTTTCGCGTAGAATCACCTCCTTTCTGCTTGTACCATCAGTTACCAACCACCCTGTATAATACCTATATGGTAATGGTAATATATGAGTATCTACCAAATGTAGTTCGATAGACCGAATACATTTTTTATGCGGTGCCAGATGCAGTTGTTTCTATGTGAAACTTAATTTTTCTAATGGAGTCATATGTTTAAAACATAATCATTTACTATAGAAAATATAACTACAAATACAAAATGTTACAAATAAGTAATAACAAGAGAAGTTAAACACAATTTTAACTATAGTGCACGAAGAATTTAATTCATCGATACGAATAAATCATTAATAATGTATTTCACTCGTCCATATATTATTATATTGTTACAAGTAATCAATATTTAATTAAAAATGAATCGTAATCAATTCACTATTTGAAAATCTCTAACGATATGGCACCATTATGAAAACTAAAATTGATACTGAAGTTCATATAAGTAATAATCTTATGATAGATTGAAAACATTTCCAATAGTCGCAAAGAATAATTACGTACACTATATACACGTTACCCATGAACAAAAACAAAGTAAAACATCGAAAGTGGAATTAAAAATAGAGAGAATCTTCTTGTTCGCAATCTCATGCTCTGATCTACTTAACATTATTAATCAACGTCCTACATACTAACGAGCGTTCTCAAATACTTATGTCCAACGTCTCATTCTCCGCTATCCCTTAGTATTGAAGACAACTAATCAGGAGTATTACAATAGAACTAATTGCAGGCTGATCCACTGCTGCGTCCACAGCTGGAAATCTGAACAACACGTTATTTCCAATCGTGTTAACGCTACGATCTTGTTCAGATTAAGTTACTTGAATTCGAGTGACTCAGTATTTATACTTGAAGCTTAGATAGTGTTTTAAAAAAATATCTTTCTTTTCCTATATTTCCAAATAATAAATTTCTCCCTGGTATTGAGAAGAAGACTAGAAAAATTGAATTAAAAAATTCAAATTAAATCAGATTCATTTCAAACCATTGAAATTATATAATTGCCACCGCGATTGTTAAAGTGACTTGACTGTCCTGAACGAAGTTTAACAAAAATTATGTAGATGCCTAAAATGAAGTATATGTACAGCTCACTCGCTTTAGAAAACCAAAATTAGCAATTACAAAGTTATGTGACTTCAAGTAAACCATTTTTCCATCTTCTCAAGTGGAGTTAAAGTCCTTCACTTGAAAGAAACTATGTAACATATTGTTACTTATAATTTCCCATTTGTGGTTATTAGTTGTGTAGATGTATGATCAATTTTGAGTACAGGTTCTGTTAGTTCTTTGTACTCCAAGACCTTTCTGATACGATCAGTCAACTACTTCTACACACTTTTGCAGCAAAGTCTTTTCCAATCAAAAATTCTGTTTCAACAAAAGAGAGATTATAAATATTTTATTTATAACCTTTGCATAACATTCCTCTAGCCTCTTCCATTTTTTGGGTAAAAGAAAACTAAATAACAATAATAATAAGCAAAGTTTTGCAATGAAGCTTTTTGAAATCAAAGCTTTTATGTCGAGAAGTGAAAAATTGAAAGATAAATATTTATGAATTTTGCAATTCTTTATTGATGAAAAGGGAATTAAATAACAATTTACACATTATCGACGTCACTAATGGAATCAACATAAAAAATGATAGATTTCAATTAGCTATTTTTACAAGTTAATGTTAACTTTCATTGAGGTAGAAACATGATTATATATTTTGTTTTCATCGTTCCATTTTAATTATAATGATTTATATCAAAATGGTACATTTCGACGCATATTATAGGCTGATTAATACTCGCTCATTTTCTACTAGCCACCTACTTCAAATCAGATTAAACTCAAGTGATTTCAAGTTAAATAACTTAACTTGCTTATGGGAACATGAAGTACATGCAAGTCGTCTGAATGCAAGTAACTCAATTAATGCGAACAAAGTTTAAGATATGATTAACTCGTCACCGTGGCCGAAGGACGAGGGAGCGAGCGACAAGGTTCTGAGAAAATCCCAGCGGCTCATTGCCATTCTCATTAAGTAAAAAGAAGGTCGGGCGTGAGGCAAATTGCACGGGTGAACAGCCAGACGGCACGCAGATGCTGTTCGGAAACTTTTGTGCTCGCCGAGCGGTGCACATTCGCGAAGAAGTTACCGGGCTTGCGGTAGTTTTACTGTACCGTAACGTGAGAATTTTATCGGCGCTAACTGGCATTGCCTCGATCTCGGTAAGTCCTCCACTCACATACGGCGTCGAAACGAGATCGTCCCTTTTGCCGCGTGCCTGATTGCCGTCAAGGTCAATCCTTGTATCGCCAACCAGACATCCATTTTCATATTTCCAATTCAACCTTTTATTAGTTTCTTCGTTTATTATTGACAATTTTGAGATTAATTTAGAGAAACGTACTAATTCCATAAATTCATTCATCACAAGGAAATCATATCAATAATGGTGAATTTTTTGAGCTAGATTTGAGAAACGACGATACCATTTGCAACATCATCACTTTCTTGTACATTTCAATTTATGCTGTTAATCAATGTGGTTTCTGAACGGCTCATTTCATTATCAACCACTCCATTCTAATTTATTTTAGAAACTTACTTTATCCTACATACCTGTTGTATAGTCTAATGTATTTTAATTAACTTACCTTATGTTACATACTCATTACATATTCGATTGTATGTCGGATATTTATATTCTAGTCTATTTTAGAAATTTACATTATGTTTTAATCTTTTACAAAAGTCTTTATAGATCTTATAGAAGGGCCATTCTTACTTGATTCTTGAAATTTGATTTTTTCAAATAGAATAACATTTTTGAAATTGCCAATTTATATTATAAGGCCATAGAAAACAGTTAAAAGATTATTTTATTTTTATTTTTACATTACTTTACTTAGAAATAATTATGTATACAATATGTAGAATATATAGCAGACTAATCACTGCGAAAGTGTGGTCAATTGTTTATCTTGTTGATTATATAAAATATTGTATAAATCTTGTTCTTTATATAAATAATATAATAAAATAATATCTACACAAAACAATCTAAAACATCTAAAACAAAAGTAGTTCATTTGTTAATTTGTATATTTAATTTAATTTAATTTAATTGTATATATTTCATTCGAATACATAATGTAATAAGCGTCATGTCTGTATTAGGAAATATAAATATGCTACCAAATGGTCACAGTATCCATTTAAGGGTTAAATAAAGCTTATATAACATGTTTATGAAGCGTATTAACGTATTTATTTCTCATAAAATGATACTAATATAGCCCTTAATCGACTTGGCATAGACCGTACTATGTTTTCAATAAAATTCTTTGGCATTTTATTTCAATAAGAATGGAATGTGCGACGACTTTTGAGTGACTGTAATTAAATACAGTTTACAATATAATACCTCGGAATTTTTATTTACGCATCGCAATAACGTATTAATATACATGAATTTATTTAATAGCTACTAAAATATAGATAAGATATTGATTATTTTTAAAATAACGATTTCCTACCAACAGTAGTTTCGCATTAATTTAGATAAAAAAATCACAAATTTGCGAAATGAATAAGTTAGTGTTGAGAAAAGTTAAGTTGGCATGATCGCTGGTTACTACAAGCTAAGTTGGACGACTTCTAACGACGCTCTTTTGTCTTAGAAGTCGACCACGTGTTAATAGACTAAGTGTATTAATACGCGTTGTACGAGGCGAAGAAATATAGAAAGAAAAATCAAATCTGTGTGAATCGATGAATTATCAACCCCAAACCTACATTAATTAACAGTTAGTGCCCAATTATAAATAGAATTATAATTAAAGATCATATCGCAACTTGTCAATCTTCTGATAGACTTTTTTATGTAAATTGACAGTGAATGGATGTGTTTAGTATATCACGATATTGATTTCACAGGAACAATCGCGTAGCTACTGCACGTGTACCTGAAACTAGGTCTCAGAAATTTCAGATCTAGCCTGAAGAAATAGACTACGATGTTTACGAAACGTTGGTACAAAGTGCAAGTACAAGTTACGCGATTATTCCAGCGAAACTAATGTCATATCTCACCATCGTGAGAGCTTGAAACCTAAAAATGTTAAATATAATAAAAAAATGTATGTTTTGGAAGTTAATAAATAACTTCATGTTAAGTAGAGACATTGATGTCATGAAATAATGAATTCATTATTGTAAAATGTAAATAATTTTTACTTTTTATTTATTTTTTCTATCTTTCCATTTATGAAATTTTCTAAAATGAAGTACGACGAAAAAAAGAATAAAAGTTAATTTAAACTCGGAAAGATGGTAGTGTATATTTTGTAGAATATTACTATGATCAGCGTTTATTCTTGTAATTAGTTAGCAAGTCGGCTTAAATCATGCAAACTAAAATTATTTCAAAGGAATATTACTATATCTACTATATACTATGCTAATAAATTGGCATATTAGTATAATAGTACGATATGAATCATAACTATAGAAGACGAATAAAAATCATAAATATTTTGTAGAAGATTTAAGGCCTATTTTGCTTCACGCGATCAAGGTTAATCCTGGACGACCCCTATAAATCGGCGTCGCTAATTTATTCAAGCGACAGCAAGAAATTATAGTCGTAGACAGTGTCGCAAAGAGAATCTCTTTAATGGCGTCTGTAGTGAACGTAGAAGTAGAGACGTAAAATTGATGATATTCAACATATTATAAGATTGAGATTTTGATTGTATTATATAAGAATAATAAGTTGTAAACCCTATAAAAAAATAACTTTCTCAGCATCGATATTTGAAATAAAATGCTTTAATAACTTCAGATCTTACTTTAATAGTTTAATAAGTAAACATGTATAAAATAAATAACTTTGTAGCTTCGTGAGTAATGATATCTAAAATGAATAACGCCATAATCTTACGAGTAACAATATCTAAGATAAATATTCGATAAATTAAAAATATTCGATTTATACGACGTATAAATATGTTGGAAAGATTAATTTGCTTAAAATGTAGCTTAAATATTTGATACGATTCTTTCATGCATAGAAAAGATTTAGTAAATGTCTTAACGTTAAATCACAGAGTATTGTTTAGCATTGTCTCAAGACATTTTTACGGATTCGTGAGTATAATCTGTTACCACGACCTTAAAATATATACTTGCAGAACAATTGAAGATGTATGAATGAGACAGCAAATGCATTGTGCAGAAGATATTAGTCAGAAAACAAGTCTGCTATAACGTTACTTGCTACACACTACAAACTATACCATGTTCCTAACTGTTAAAGTTTTAAATATCGTAGATAAAAAGCGATGAGTTACAATCTAATTATAGCTACAGTTATGAGCTGCGGCATGATAACTTAATACATAACTGTTTTAAGATATCATCTTCTTCAGCTGCATATACTTTATATCGATTTTTCAGCTACATTTTAAGTAAATCGATTTACCATCGAAGATTTGTAAATTTCTATTCAAGTTTTTAAACGCTTCGTAACAGTAATATTTTTACTAAATGATAAAAATAAATTATAATTATCGATGAAATATATTGACACGTAAATTCTTAAATTTATATGAATTGCTTCTATGTTGTTAACACACCAAACGTATGATTGGTAGTTTAAAGTAACATCATTATTTTTGCACGCGAAAGAAATCTAAAAAGGAAACGTTATCTGCTAACGCTATATAGGGACAAAGAAGGTTTTCCTTGAACGCTTTTCTAAATTCAGTCATAGTGGCATACTGGTTCTTACATACTAATCACTTTCAAATAAATCAAGATTTATAAATACAATCGTCCATCTTCCTTCCTTAAAACGACACACGTTCGTTATGTAACAGTATACATATCGAAAGTTCAAGAACATAATATCAAAAATATGATTGGAAGCTTTTTATACTTAATATTAAAAAAATGTTAGAAAATACTTTTGTGTAAGTTTTGTCAAATATTCTAAATACGAAGGAGCAAAATTTTGAACTTGTTAAGTAATAGTTAAATAATAAAACAAATATGATTGTGGTAATAGAATGTTAAAATAAAATAAAGTTAAGAAAAGGTACTGTATATATGAGTAATAGGATTTTTACTTATTTGTTAATATATCGACATACTCTATTCCTTATAGATATTCTTTCTGCAGAGAATGTTTTATATTAATAGAAAAAATATTTTTAATTGCTTAATTTAAGCTTAATTTTTGCTTAATTTACATTAATCATTTATGACGACATTTTATGGCGATTATTTAAATTTGTCTAATCTTAGAACAAACATAACAATTAAGAATAAGTGTAGTACACAATAATTCATCAAAGGCCTCGATCACTACATAAAACAAGATCTGATAATAAAACATTTTGTAATAAACATAATAACAACCCAGTATAATAATAATCCAACTGCTTATTTCATAATAATTACCCAGTCACATTCATAATAGATTATAATTGAAAAACACACAAATAATAAAACGAATTTTATTTCAATTAAAAAATTAAAAGTCATTAAATTCAAGTTATAGTATGTTAACTAACTCAAGTTATGTTTTAGGTTTCATATTAATGTCACAGCATTCCATGTAGGAGTGATCTGACAAGTGTAGCCATAAAACAAATCATAAGGCTAGGAAGTAATTGATATTCATTTTGATTATTATTATTATATGAAACAGTATGTATAAAATCTATTTAATAACGTTCAAGAGAAATTTATCCCGGTGTTATTGCAGATATAGTCATGATCAGAAATATTACCAGCTTATCCTGTAACATTCTGAGAATTTGTAAAACGACACGATTCCTTATGTAAGTCTCTTTATAGAACATGAAAAACAATGATTGAAAACAACCCTGACATCGATTTCGTTTCGCAAAACAATTACGTAAAAGCTTCATTCTGATTAATTGTTACAAGAAGCTGAAACTTTTGTTTCGATGATCGTTTCTATCTTATACTACCGGAATCATTATTTTTGGAAAATAGTTCTAAAATCAGTTTTTATAATGATAAAAATTTTGTTTTCTTAAAAACAAATTATTACGTACTATTTTTTATTGCAAAACTACTTAACGATGATAAATTCTAATATATGTATTTAAACTCCAAACTCGGAAGTTCAAAGAATACATTTTGTAAATAAATAAATTTGTATACAGTTTTATAGAGCAATTTGTGCCAATATTTTCGTTCATCGCTGTAAATCCGGCAAAAGGAATCATTAAAGAATTCCATTTATTTCCAATGAATCGATACTACGGACAACACTCAGAGTATAGTAAGCTGGCGTTATTTGAATCGTCTAATTTCAACACTTTTTAAAATTTAATCTTAAAGTTTGCACGAATCTATTATATGGTACAAAATATCGCTAGCTTCTGGTATAATAACAAAAGAGTGAGAAAATATTACGTACTTTATGCCCGGCAAGAAAACATATCAAAAATAAGAAACTGACTCAAATAACTTTTCGTTAGAATTACTCTAATCAGTAAGGAGGTATTGTATAAGAACTAAAACAAATTAATTTCCAGAAATATGACTATTTAATTAGGATAACTACAACCGAAATTATTAACGTTAGTCAAACGAACTTTCCTTTCAAGATGTCATATCCCCGTAAAAAGCTACGGTCACCGGGCTGTTAATTCACACGATATATTTCACTTTTTATCACGCCACTGATAACGAGTTAAATAATCTGTTCTGAAATGTAGCTGGCTTAACCCTTCCCCGTGCCACTTGGTTCGACAAAACTCGGGCCCAAGCGGTAGACATCGACGCGCGCTAAACAGACCAGACTGATGCTCGTAAACAGTCGCAATACTTTACAAAACTTGCTATCAAATGTAATAAAGAATAGGTCTAGTATTCTTGGATCGTCACTTACATTATTTAAGACAGACGCTTTTGTTCCGTGATGTTCAGAATACTTCCAAACTATCGGTGTGTTTTTCACTTTTTGCCAAATCCATGATTGTCGTGTCGTACTTTCCTCTTCGCTACTCTCATGTATAATCATACGCCTTACACGCTTTGCGACTGGCATAATCACGTCACTATCACAGGATTCGTTATCACTGTCTTCATTTAACACTTTTGTATCTTCCATTTTGAAGGGGTTTCTTAAATTTTAATAATTGAACTGCTCCGTAACAGCAACGATAAGAATCGTGACTAACTGTCGTGAGGTACTGACAGGAACTAACATTCGGCCACGATCGTAACGGGCAAAAAAAAAATCTGCGAGCTCGGCTTGTTATGTTTACGTTTGGCCCAAGTATCTGGTCGCGAGTCAGACTCGCAATATTTATGTTTGGGCCAAAATCTTCATCGCGAGTCTGACTCGATAAAGTACGGGAAGGGGTTAAAAACTGTTTATAACCACACTCGATAAATTAGCAGCCATTTGACGGATATCCTATTTACCGAAAAAATGGATTGTTTCAATTTTTATTATCGGAATTCGATGGAAGCTTTCGATAGAGCACATAATCGTGAATATTGAAGGTGGGAAGTCGATCACGAAGCCAAGGAATTCTATTCAAGGAAACTATTGAAGCATTCAAGCAGCCAATTTAAAAAAGTATCTGATTACGAAGTCAATCTACATTCTATCCGGGCGCAGCTGTGAACAGGTAGACTACACACAGAACGTGTAATTGATGCGTTCTCGACCTAAACCTACATACCGATTCCTTTGAGTTAGCGTACACGTCGCACGCGTTCCCACACACATTCTCTCGACACACACGTGGATACGTCATAATTTACAGTTATTTCTTCTACGGATTATTACGAAAGGTTTCGTCTCCACGGCCATGTTATTCAAATACGTTAGATCGAAGAAAACGATCAACAGCTTCAGCACTTGTTGATACATCCTGATCGAGCGTAGAACAAAGGAAAACGATTCCTGTTATTGAACTGCGAGCCTTTTCAAATCTTTCGGATATAACAGTACGTTTATTGTTGAAAATTGATGTTGTATTTACTTCTTTGGACGTGGAACACGTGAGTACAGTGGAGTTTTTGAAACTTCCTGTTTCTTTCTTTCGCGTGATTCATTTATGTAATATAGTAAGTAATACGTGTGTATGTGTATCGTACCGTACGTGATATATGGTGTAAATTATTGATATGCAAAGACTATACGATTTGAATATTTTTGTTTCTTCATATTATATTGTTACTGGCTAATATTCATAATTTTTCATAGAAATTTATATTTAGAAAATAAGTTTCTAGACAATGCATTTATGTGAATTTGTATAATTTTTTGTCAAATGTTAATAACAGGTTATTTTTTAATTTAAATATTTTAAATAAAATCTCAAATAACAGCAGTGGTCGATCGATACTGAATTTCGTGGATGTCATTGGACGAATAACGAGCCTCAAATATAAAATCTTAGATTGGGAAAATCATGCATTGCGAAGATACATGCCTCTATATCGTAGCTACAATAGATTTTCATTGTTTCCAGAATTCTGGATCGTGTTGGCGACAGCGTTGATCTAACCTAAACCAATACTAACATTCTTTATGATCTGTTTAAAAGGAGTTGAATGTCTTCTTTTCGCTCATTCATCATTTCTAATTTTAATATACAGGGTGGTTGGTAACTGGTGATTCTACGCGAAAAAAGAAGTCGAAAATATAGAATAAAAAAATTTTTTTTTTAATTCTTCCATCGAGACAACGATCTACAGTTAAAGCGATAGATAAAGTTAAAGTGATAAAGCGTTTCGCACGCGTACCGAGCGAAAATTCAAAGTCGATTTTCTCGAAAACAAAGTTTCAAACGAAAAATTGTTATTCTATATTTTCGACTTCTTTTTCCGCGTAGAATCGCCCCCTTTCCGCTTGTACCACCAGTTACCAACCACCCTGTACACAAACGCACATATATTTATCCCTCAGCTGTATACATCATTTATACTTACATTGTTCTATTAATTGTCGAATATTGTAGCTAATATCAGTAAAGAATTATTATATGTATAGGTATGCGTGTATAAGGAGCAGTAATCTTCAAATGCACGATTTCCTAAAGCTAAGATTCTGTATTTCGGATTTTATATCTCATTCCATGATGCATATTTACCAAATTGCCATGCGAATTACAGCCGATGTTATTTTTAAATTTGACCAATAGTCATCCTGATTTGAGCTAAATCGATTAGATTAATTTTTTCCTTCCCTATAAAAAGTTCTTTATTTCCATCAAGTTTTATTTCTCATTTTCACTTTTATTAATCAATTCCCGTTTTAACTAAGGTCATCAACAAAATTTAAATATGTATTGTATTTTAGCACTACTTGATTCGATTTGATTATAACTAATTATTCTTTGAATTTATATCATATTATTCTGAAAAAGGAAACACATCAAAATTACAACGACCGATCTGCAGACAAATAGTTAATATAACTGGAATTAATGTACGTGTGTAATAGTTCACTGGTTCTCTCTACCTATGATTTCTCGACCATAATTGGAATTCACGTTCAAATAACTGGATTTAGTCGACAGAAGTGCAGTTAATTCTATTCACTAAAATATCATCCTAATGAATAAAGTTTAAGAAAATGGAATTCTGAAACTCGGAAACTGTATGACATGTATGATGACTTAATTAAAAAGCATATGCATTGGCAAACATTTCACGAATGATTAACTATTTACAAGTAATAGATTATTAGATATTAAATGTAAATTAATACAATTGAAAACTAATTAAATGCCTAAACAGATAAACATACTTTATATACAATTAAGGATATTAAAAATTCATGAATTATAATGCAAAGACTTAAATGAGATAAAACACTATTAAGACATATATGCATATATCCAATTAAATATAAAAATAAAGAAGAAATATACATACACACCTTATATTAAAAAATTATATTTTTAAAACCTTGAAATAAAGTGTATGTATATATTTTACATGAAGCTTTGAATTCTGAATTTATATGCTCGCCCACAAACCAATAATTATCACTACATCATTTTCTACGCAAATCACGTATCTATACGTGCATTATTTAAATATTTATGTTACTAGTAATCTATTTGTATTCTATTAACGATTATAATACAGATATGAACGATTTACATGCGAAGAAGCGTTCAAGCGGTTGAACCATGATTGATCGATTGTAATTGTTCAATTTTGATTATCACGTCACAGTTAGTGGTCACGCGTATGCATGATGCGAACATCTTCTCTACTTCTATGCACGAAGTAAGTTTAAGCATAGAGAATGTTAATCGTATATCTTCTAATATGAAAGTATAATTAATGCGAAGATGATCATGACTGTGTGGTGTTTCATTTCTTTAAGAAAATCTGAATAAATATTCCACTTTATATACAGTTACGTACAGGCAGGTAGTAGAAATAAGTACCAATTAATTTTCGTTAAATACAGCTAGTACAGCACAAAAATATAAATATTAATTTTAATTATTCACTAAATAATCGATGTATTGCAAGGATGTAATAATTAAAGATTAAGTATGTAATAGTAATATCACAATTCGATTAAACTTTATTAATACCGACTTCCATTAATTGTCCACCTATCTTTTCCTTCAGCTGTATTATCAGTAAATTAAAATTTACAAAGTTCTTCACAAATTTTTGTAGGTTTAATAATGTAATTCTTCACACAAAAAGCAAATTTTTAATGTCTGGCGATACAAGGCGTATCTAATATTCGTCTTATACGAGTATCAAATATGTTGTTACTTAATTATCTTTTAATTATCAAAGTATTTTTTACCCTTTTATATCTTGTTACATTAATTTTAAGTAGAAAGGAGATAAAGTATACAATATAGGAAGAAATATACAAAAAGGAGATGGAAAAATATATATTCGATACAACATGTATTCTATCCTTATTATGATCTTCTAAAAATAATAGGGACAATGTGAAAATGATATTTTCAGAGACAATATACAAAACAAACGTCAAACATTAAAAAATGTATGAAAGAGTTATAACAAAATATGAAATAGAAGGAAAATGATAATTGTCTCACTTCTAATATAATATACAGTAAAAGTGTCAAGTGTTAATATAATAATTATGAATTAATGCCTGTTACTAATTAATAACAAAAATTTGAAAATGCATGTATATATACATGCAGTTAGGTAATATATTCGGTCGGGTTGGCTTAGACTTAGGAGCGCGTAACGTATCTTCATAAAGACAAGCCATCGTTGTTGTTCAATGGAGATTATATTTGCAATTATATGTACAAATGTTGATTTAACAGAGTTTGACAATCGAACGTGGTGATTAGACACTCTCGATATTAAAGACAATGTTCTTAGGTTCAATAACGAATCCACGGTCAACGAGAAAACTCTTTGTACAATAAAATATATTTTGAAACACAAAGTGACGTTAGCTGAGACGCACGGTATCTTTTGTCGGAGATGCAGGGACATCGGGCCTTTCTTTTGGAATTTTGGGAAGATCCCCGCTACTTTGGTCTAAA